GCGAGGGGTACGCCAGGGGGGTCGGGTACAGCTGGGAGGAGCTGCTGGCGCTAGAGGGGGAGCCATCCGAGGAGCCATCGGGCACAGAGGAAGGGTCAGAGGAGGGGGACGAGGGAGGCGCAGAGGGCTGGCTGGGGTGCTTGGAGGGGCTTGATGCTGTGGCCATGGCTCAGGGCGGGGAAGAGGAGGAGAAGCTTGGGGTCGGGAGGGGGGAGGGGGAGGAGGGAGGGTGGGCGAGCTTCCTGTGGGATCAAGGCAGCGAATTTTCTGCGTTTAGTTTGGATTGAAGTTTTCTTTGCAATCAGACTTACAAGATGAATGAGGGGAAGGATGTGATGTTCGTGTATGTACCCCATCAAGTATGATTGCTCGCTACACTGTGCATGGGGAATGTCAGAGCCCGTGCAGGAGAAGTTAGCGAGCTTTCTTTTCTGCAGCACACTGTGCTAGTTGGAATAGCGTAGGAGACACTATCAACTTTCTGTATCGATTGCGTTTCCTCCCTGCTGAACATCATGAACGACGTTGACAGCGACTTTCAGTATAATACTCAGTTACTTACGGTATCACATTGTGACCGTGACTCGACACTAGACTCTTCAATATTACTGCAAGTAATTTGTTTGCAAGTTATGGCCGAAAAAAAATCTTTGACAAAGGCCTTTGCTCAAAGTTCGGAGGGTCTAGCTAGTGGACGGGGAATGATGGGGGACCGTACACTAGCGCCACAAGTCTCCGGAAATTACAACTATTATTGCAGGAACCTAAAATTTACACGTGACCATGACATGAACCGTGATGTTTACTACTGAAGAGATCTTTCGGGTAATTCCGTTTCCCCGAAAGTATAAAAATAGTGTGATGACCCAATCCGTACGGTGGACTGGCGGCATACACTGGTATCCATGCTCAAAGCTCAGCCCCATCCCTTCGCTGCAGCCCCCTCCTTCCCCTCCAAGCCTCCCCGCCTCCCCTTCACTGCCTGCGACCAGTGCCGCCGATGCAAGACCCGCTGTGACGATCAAGCCCCCTGCTCTCGCTGCGTCCGCTCTGGCTTGGGAGCAGCCTGCTCCCGCCTGGCGGAGGATGACATGCTGGAGATCCCGCAGTACCTGGCCGAGTACCGGCTGAGCCGTAGGGCGACCAAGGCTTGTCTGAGCTGCCAGCTCAAGAAGGTCCGCTGCGGCGACTCTCGGCCCTGCGCTCGGTGCTACCGGATGGGGCTGACATGCGACGACGAGGCGGGGCTGGGGCAGGAGGCGCTGCCTCTGATGCTGCAGCGGAAGCGAGAGCAAGTCGTGCAGGCATGCGAGCGATGCCGGAGGTCGCGGCTCAAGTGCGACTCGGTCAGGCCATGTCGGCGGTGCGTGAGGGCGGAGGAGG